TGGAACATATTGAAGGGTAGATGTTAGTCATTAAGCCTTCTGGATGTTTTTTTTTTGAGAGGCTTCTATTCTGTTTGAAGCTAAGCAGGTTAATAACAGATTTAAGCAGGAATATGCTTTTATTCTGGAACCCCAACATTTGCTAATTTCCTCATTGCTTAGATATATTGAGTTAACTCTCTCAAATAATTACTGAAGATATGCTCTTACAAATCAGAATATAATTTTTTAGTGATCAATAGTTTTGATATTGTTTTAAAAGTGGCAGCATTTATTAAAATTCTGTATGTGAAGTTTTCAATTAAACTTTCAAGTGGTACCTCTGAAACAGCTAAATAAGACATTTCTGATTATCCAGCGAAGGCCTTAGCCAGGACATTGTATTACTTATTTTACAGCTCTGATACATAACAAAAGGGAATTGGATTAAACAGGGAGATGTGTTATAGTAATTATATGTGGATCTGCATTAGAATACACAGAGACCTCAGAATGAACAGAAATCCTGGCTGACCACTCTCTTAACCCCATTTATGTAGCATATTAAGTCAGAAGACTGAATGAATGACCATATGCCTTTCTTCTGTTCCTTTCCATAGAGCTAATTCAATTAGAGTAGCTCATGAAAAAATTGTGTCTTCAGACCTTGAATTCTATTTATGCACTTTCTGTAAGTAAGGCTATAGGTGGAGAAAGCAAAAGATGAATATTTTTCCTTAATATGTAAAATCTAAAATTTAGCAATTGTTGAGGCATAGCATATTTATCTAATACAGTTAGAATTTTTCATTTTAATGCTTGTATATTGAAGGTTAGAGTTCTTTGGCGACACTGACATTGATATAGTTGCAAACTTCCCTGGTACTGTTTGTTGTATCATATCTCCAATGGATGTGGCTGATTAGAGTGCAGTATAATTAGATCTAAGTAGTGAATAATGTTAGGGAATGGGTCCTATTTGTAACAGGTGACCTGGGAAGTTGTTCATGAAATATGGGTGGAAGGCTTCTTTGAATCTGTGGCATGGGGAAGAAGTGTTAGGGACTAAAATCTGAGATCTTCATTCATGGCCACAGTGGAATGAAGACCCAGTCGTGCAGAACTAGGGCAGCTGGCAGCACTATAGATGTGGGTACCAGATGGAGGCAGCGAGCATCTAGCAATGATGGTAGTAAATTCAGGTTCATCTCCGCTCAGAGTTAGAGATAAACATTGAATTTTGTAACAGAAACAAGACAGTAATTTTCTCCTGGCAGGGAAAATATGGTTAGCAGGTGTGGTACTTAGGGGAACTCTTTCAGTTTGCATCAAAATCGGGACCATGGGCAGACATATAGATTAGGGTTCTGGGGAGGATGGCATGTAACCAGAAATGAGGGCAGAAGCCTATCTTTCTGGGTGGGTAAACAGTGGGGATTAGCATAGCAAACACAGAAATGCTGTAGCTTGACGAGCACAAACATTTTCAATTAATTTACTTAATTCAAACCAGCTCAAAAAATTTTGTGAACATCTGTATTGCTTCAAGGTCAGTTATACCCTGGGGATCAATAGGAAGACCACTACCAGGAAGTCCTTACCATTTGTTGCTTACAGTCTTTTTGGGGATCTGGATCTGGTAATAGAATTATGTAAGTACTTGCATAAGAACACTAACAAAATTACATATATTGAATTTCTTGCAAAAAATTAACTTTATTTCACAGTTATTGGAGAGGCGTTGAGGTTTGAGGGGAAGTAAAGATAATCCCTTCTGTGGTTGTTGTTTTAAGAACAGTTTATATTTGGTGGAGGTATAAAGTGTTTGAGAAATGACAGGGGCCAAATGAGGGACAGTGGCTTGGAAATGTGGAAGGATGAATGGGAAATTACCTTTCACAAGCAATGCAGACACCTTGAGTAATGATTGAGAATACAGTAAGAGTGGCGGAAATTCTAGCTCAGATGGCCATGGTTCTCTTATTACTAGTTTTGGTCCTTAAGTGCATTGCAAAAGAGAAGTAGAAGGTGCTTCATGATGTCAATGCTGGGGCGGGAAGTTTTTTTGTTTTTGTTAGCGTGTCTCCCAGACCCAGTTGAATCAGGGAATTTGAAAATCCTCCTGTTTTCAGTACTAGGTTGTTAAATGCTGAGATAACAATAATTTCTATTTTCAACAGATTTGGGTAGTAGAATTAAATAAAAAGGAGGTTTTTTCTAAAAAATCCTGAGAGGATAGATAAAAAGTTTTTCATATTGTGATAATTATAAACAATGTATTCTAGCAGTGAGGAGGCGCACTGAGGTATCAGATGTCTCATATATTATTTTTCAAAATGAAGGAAATGCCATTAAAATGACAAAAATGACACAATATATCTGTTAAAAAAAATCAAAAGGTGTATTAAGAGAAAAGCAGAATTCTCTCCCTATGAAGAGGCAGTGACTTGTGATTTCCTTCTGTCTTTTCCTAACTCTCCCTTGTCTGCTTATGTGGAGACATAGTCATATATATTTATACAAGGAAACACTGATTTTGGAATTGGACAGTATAGAATGTGCTTCCCGTGTTGATGTAAAGTATACATTAGATAGGCCATGGTACTGTTCTACTTTTGCAGTAGTCCAAAGATTGAGTGAGAGCCTGCTTAGCTAAGCTACACATGAAGCTCCAATGTTTGCGTTACAAAGAGAGTTAAAATTTTATTTCCAAAATCAAATGCATTGAGAGATTTTGGTGGGGAGAGGGGGAGGGAAACTAACAGGAAGAAAGGAAAGAAGGAATCATGATAATTCATCATCAGATACTCATATATTTATAACAACCTTGAAATTATGCTATGTGTTACATTGTTTCTTATCTGATTCATCTATAATGTAGTCTCTATGAGGACAGAAATTTTTGTCTTTTGTTCAGTGATATGTGCTAAGTAGAAATTGCTCAATAAATATTTGAATAAAGAAATGAATAAATGAATAAATTTGGCATCTCCTTTGACTGTGACACTTGCCAAAAAGAATAAGAGTAATTTAACTATAATGAAAGTCACTGACTCTAGGAATTTGTAAGTTAAAGTGGCTAATGTGGATGCTGATCATAATATTTTCTAGGAAAACATCAATGATAGAGTATGGGTAAAAATTTATGCTTTTAATATATTTTCTTCTTTTATCTTGTCTGGCTGCATGGTTATGGGTTTATGTATCATTGAAAGCCATGGAAGAAAACAAATGAGAAAACTAAATAATAGAACAGTAGAATTGACATTGACAGTAGATGCATAATTTTAGAGGAATTTTCTTCCATCAAGAAGGAGGTAAAATGGCGTGGAAAATTCCCTTACATTGTAGCTCACTTTAGTCATGGTACTTGTGTAAGTAGCAATTACTTGATTATTTTTTGGAATTCAAAAAATATACATAAAGTTATTTATTTTGTGAAATGCTTCAAACATACAATAAGGTAAAGATAAAAATATAATAAATACACAGGTATTCAACACCCATATTGAGAACAAATATAGTGAATACCCAAATATCTCTCATGCATATTTAACAAATATTTTAATTCTACTTTTTGATACAGATTTTTTAAACAGAAATATAACATGTCAGTTGGGAGTTGAAAATTTCTTTTAACCTTCCCCAAATAAAAGTTTGGTTTCCATGAGATTGTGAAATAAGCCTTGTTATACTGGTGTATGAGTTTAAATAATTTCAATATGCTTAAAAAATTTTTAAAGCCATTTCGATGATTAAGAAAAAGGTTCAGTATAGTTTTTTGTTTTGTTTTTGTTTTTCATTAAATGAGCTTAATGGTGTAAAAGGTCAAATTACAAAGAAGTGTTTAAAAGTTTAAGAATGATTAGTTCAGTTTCTTTTCAAAAAGAAGTTGTTTGCAAATAAAGAGTATGTTTTTTGCCAGCCTAATAGCACTTCACAATTTCATACTGTGGAAAACTTTTGCGGTACCTATGTTCCACATGTTGACTCTTTCACCATGTAGAATTCTGTACAAAGAACTTCAGTGCCAAATCCCTAACATTGCTCACTTTGGGTGGAGAAGACTGTATCATGTAGAATTTGCCATTCTAATTTTCTTTGGCACTATTTAAAATTTTGTATAATAAGCATATATTATTTTGGAATTAAAAAAGGTAAATGTTAAAAAAAGGTACTTTAAAATTATCTCCAAAAACCAGTACCAACTTCAACAACAACACCTTTTCACATTGGATGTGATTTGAAAACAGCAGATGCACTTACCACCTGTATGTGTGCATGTGTGTGTGTGTATGATGTATATCTCACTTATATATGTATCTCACTAGTGAAATAAGAATATTGCTTCCTTATATTCCTTATATTGCTCTTGCCAGTATATTCCAAAAATTAAAAGGAAACAGTGTTTTCTCTATTATATCATGCTATTTATGCTAAATTGAGGGGATGCCGTTATTTTTCCTATATTTTGTTAATAGATAATCTTCTTTTTAACCCAGCATGGTTAACAGTTTTTGTTTTTCACACATTTGATTATGTATCCTTGTAGGGGCAAGTAATGCTCTGCTAATTTAAGAAATTAGCAATGTGTTAATAATTTGACAAGCCTACTCTAGGTTGTATAACTAAAAACTGTTATGAGCCATCAACAGAGAAAGTATTTAACATAACTGACTTATGGAATCTAATATATATTATAATTTATGTTTTTTTATGATACATGCTTTTCTATTTCTGGGAGTAATCAAACTTAGAGTAAATCAAAGGCAAAGAATAACAAAATTAACTTTAGAAGAAAAATACAATTCTATGTTGATTTTTACTCTTTGTTTTCTTAAAAAAAAGTGGTTAAGTCTCTGAGGTTCATTAATTATGTTTTACTGTAATTATGTGAATATAATTAAATTAATTTGATCTTTTATGTTTTGCATGATGAGAGACATAGTTTCAGATGATATCATGCATTTTGAAAATGTTTTTACCTTTTATCTATGACCGTTGTTTTATTTTATTTCTAGGTAAAAGAATGGCTCTGTTTAAACTGTCAGATGCAAAGAGCTCTAGGAGGTGATCTGGCTCCAATTCCATCATCACCCCAGCCCAAACTGAAGACAGCTCCAGTTATTCCTGCATCAGCGGTGAGCAAACCATCTCCACAGTCACAGCAGATTTTTCCAAAGAAGGATACTGCACCCAAACATGATATCTCAAAGGCACCTGAGTCTAAGAAGCCCCCACCACTAGTGAAACAACCAACCCTTCATGGTTCTCCCCCAGTGACAGCTAAGCAGCCTCCTGTGGCAGAGCCCTCATCCAAGCCAGCCCCTCCCAAAGAACCTTCTGCCCCATCTGAGCTGGTCAAGGTCCCCATGGCTGACGACAAACCAAAGCAGCCCAAGACGGCAAAGCCAGCCACAGACATTGTGTCTTCATCATCAACAGCAACAAAACCTGATACTCCAGTCTCCAAAGTACCATCACAGGATCAAGAGAAAACAGCACCTCCTCTAAAAACAGACTCTGCAAAACCTTCCCAGAGTTTTCCACCAACAGGAGAAAAAGTCACCCCATTCGATTCTCAAGTCATGCCTCGACCTGCATCAGATTCGAAAATTATTTCACATCCTGGGCCTAGTATGGAGAGCAAAGGTCAAAAACAAGCTGATCCAGCTCAAAAGAAGGAAGAACCCAAAAAAGCACAAACCAAAATCAGTCCTAAGCCAGATGCCAAGCCAATGCCAAAAGGGTCACCGACACCTGCAGGCCCACGACCTACCACTAGCCAAACTGCACCTCCATCTCAACAGCCACCAAAGCCTCAGGAGCAGTCAAGACGTTTCAGTCTGAATCTGGGAAGTATTACTGATGCTCCCAAATCACAGCCCACCACTCCTCAAGAAACTGTGACTGGGAAACTCTTTGGGTTTGGAGCATCAATCTTCAGCCAGGCATCAAATCTAATCTCCACCGCAGGCCAGCCTGCATCCCATTCACAAAGTGGGCCAGGGGGCCCAGCAAAACAAGTCCCTCCTCCTGCACAGCCACCTCCTCAGGGGCCACCCAAATCTACGGGTCAGGCACCACCAGCACCTGCAAAGGTTACACCGGTGAAAAAGGAAACAAAAGCTCCAGTAGCTGAAAAATTAGAGCCCAAAGCTGAACAAGTTCCAACAGTAAAAAGAACAGAAACAGAAAAGAAGCCTCTGCCTGTTAAGGATAGCAAACCTTCTACAGCTGAGCCTCCAAAGGCTGCCCTTCCCCCCAAACTGGAGAAAACCCCCAAACCAGAATCAGCCTGTCCTCTTTGCAAAACTGAACTCAACATAGGCTCTAAGGATCCTCCTAACTTCAACACTTGCACTGAGTGCAAGAATCAAGTGTGCAATCTCTGTGGATTTAACCCTACACCACACTTGACTGAGGTAAGCAGTATTTATATTACTTATAGATGTGAGTTTATCATGTTTATTCTGAAATATTTTGGTAGCCAAATTTCTGAGCAAAAAATACATTTCTAGTAAAGAAAGCAAATTGATATAGAGACCTTAGAAGAAGTTTCAGTTGCTTTTTACAGGTTTACTTTCTTATTAAAAATTCATGAAATTTATACTTTTCTGGGTTAATGCACCAGAAATAAGAAGATGAAATAAACTGACAACTTAAAGTAATTATCCTAATCATTTATGAATTAACCACCTATAGCTTTGGAGGACTACCTGGTTTTCACTTATAAACATCAAGTAAGAGAAGTAATTTACTATTTCCAATCTTTCTGATCCTTCCAGTTTCTTTAATATATATAAAAAGAAGTTTGGTTGGTTGCAGATCTATAAAAAGACATGAGAATGTTATTTTACAAAAATTGTTAAGAACTTTGTGAATGGAATAATATTGTCTACTAGAAAATATCGGTTCAAATATATTATGCCTAGATTTTTTATAGTTCTATTTGAGCTATTATTTGGCATAAACATAATAGAATACTTTATTAGGAATGGTGGAAATTTTAAGAATATATAGATTTAATTACTAATGTCAAGGAACTGTTTTTTTTTCCTTAATGGAACAACAAGAATACTTTTTCCACAAAGTAAATGACCGAAAAACAGATAGCAAATTTCTTCCTAATATAGATATAAAAGAATGAATCGATGAGCCTTAGTAATGTGTTAGGACTATTAGAATTTTGGATCTTGGGAGACTGATGGGTTAAATGATAACTGCTGTCTTAGGTAAGTACCAACAATATTTTAATAAAAATTTTGGGATTGCATTTTAAGTAATTATTCATTATTTTTATACGAATCAAAAATACTTAAGGATTATTTTATTTCACTCTCCTTGATTTTATAATTCATTAGAATGAAAACTTGAACAGATTTTTAGCAACTATACAAAAGAAACTTTAAAGGTTCTTGCTGTGTTTTTTTTTAAAGAATAAACCATATGATATTTTTATTTTCCACCTTTGAAAGATATTAGGTTGCTTTGATATTAACACCATATGAAAATATTGTCCTTATAGACTTAAAAGCAGATTTTTATTCTCTTTATGATGAATAATGTTAACTAAGATCCATTTTAAAAGCAGGTAAAATTTGTTTTTTTCAGTGTCATAAGTGGTAACAACTATAATTATTACACATAGTAATATTTTTAGAAGAGTTGCCTTTGGTTGTATATTCATGAAGAGGAAAATTTGGTTTTCCCAGTAAGCAGGTTCTTGAATAATGCTGTTTCATTCAGCATCCTTTTGTTGTAATGTTGACGAGGGGGGAAAAATGTGATTCCTGGCCAGAGCCTTGTCTGTACAGAGTTTGCATGTTCTCCCCATGTCTATGTGGGTTTTCTCCAGGCCTTTAAGTTTCCTCCCACGTCCCAAAGATGTGTGCACATTGGGTGAACTGGCATGTGGACACTGCCCCAGTCGGAGAGTGTGTGTGTGTGTGTGTGTGTGAATGTGTGTGCGCACACTCTGTGATGGCAGTGTTCTGTCCAGGGCAGGTCCCACCTTGCACTTGGAGCTGCAATGGGCTCCAGCCCCCTACAAACCTGAACTGAATTAGCAAGTTGGAAAATCGCTTTACTTTCATTAATCTTTCTCAAATGTATGTATAATAAATTTGTAAATTTATTCCAGTGTTTAATATTAGAAGTGTTTGGGGTCTTTATTTAGAAGCTTGGTGATGTTTTTGTGACCAGAAATATGCTGTAGGAACTTAACTCTTGTTTATATCAATTTACCTGAGGTAACATTTATTTTGCTATATGTTGTTTGCTTAAAGTCACAGTTTCTAAGAACCTAAGGACATCATTAAGCGAGGACTCACTGTGTTAATTTCATAGATTTCAAAAGTTATACTATTTAATGAGGAGCCATATGGTATCAATACCATGCAGTTAATTTAAATAGTTACAAAACTGCACCAATATAAACAATAATGTCTGTGTTTAAAGTGTATTTTGGGCACACTAATAAAAAAGTGTGTATACTGAGGGATAACTGTAACTTATATAAATGTGTGTATATATATATTAATATGTATACATTTGGGCCAGTTTTGTCAGTGTTTGGAGGTATGAAATGAGAGCCCTGAGTAGAGAATCAATAAACCTTTCACAAAAATCTTTTGATTTTTTTATGTGTTGGCCAATTATATTTTAGAGATGGTAAATTGCAAAGGAGATTTCTTGAATAAAGCAGAGAATTATCTAGGCATGTATGGAATTTCAATAGTTTGAAAAGTATAAATGGTTTCAAGTTTTTAAATGGTTTAGGTAAAGTCCTATTTTAAATGGCATCAGTTGGATTTAGACAGTCTTGCTGAGATTATTTTGCTGTGTAGTAATTCCGTTGAATGTTGAAGATCGTGTTTCAGAGGAGAAAAAATTTTGATGTAACAGGAGCAGTGGATTAGTGTTCCTAGCTCAATTTGACTATACTAATCTGCAAGAAGTTTTCAGTTAGTATAAGCGTTACCAGGGAGACAGGAGACGACAAGACCTCTGTTCTTGTCTTCATGAAGAAAATATTTCAGTCAAGAGACAAAGTGCATCAGAGCAAGCAAGAATTTGTTGACCGCAGCAAAAACATACTTAGGGTGGTGAAACAAGGAAGGTGCGTAGAGGAAGAAACAGGAGAGCCTAGGCTGGGCTGCTTTGGCTCCCGGAGAACAGGGAATCTTGGAGACAGGTTTAGGGGTAAGCCCAGGACAAGCTGCTGCTGCCCATTGCTCCCCTGGTTGCAAGTATAGTGGGGTCCCCTCAGAGGGAAGAAGGGGGATGGAGATGGCACTGGTGTGCTCCCCTGGAGGAGAGTGCTCACTGGGTCCTTTGTCCAGAACATATTTATCTTTTTCTTGCAGATGGAAATCTTAGGGGGGGTCTCAGGGGAAGGTCTCAATTGAATATTCACCAGTTTTCCAGGTGTACTGTTTCAGGGTCGTGATATCCACTGATTGGTCGGTGCCAGGCAGGGGGCCATTAGTCAATGTAGCTGGTCCTGAGGCAGCCACTGCATCACTTATCAGGTTTTGCTGTTTTTCTGCACCTAGAGCTAAAATACAGCTGAGGCCTACATGTTATGTTTAGGGAGGAAAAGATCAGGGGACTCTAGACCGCATGACCAGCAATATGCTAGAGGAGGAAAGGTTACCTTGAGGGTGAGGTTCTTGTTTTCCAGTTTTGCCCCTTGGTAGGCATCTGGGGCTTTTTGCCCTGGTGAGTTTCTGTACCTGGTCATTGTCCTTGCTTTGCTTGTGCCTGCCCAGCTACCTACATAACTTAAGGCCTTAATGGCCTCTGGTCTCTAGCTAAAGTCCTTTGGCTCACATGACATCCAGGGAGTGAATAAAAATTAGTTGAGTTAATCCATGTTCAAACTGTTTTCATTATTTTTACCCAAAGGGCTTTAGAGAACTTGGTGAAGGAGTTAGTTGAAGAGGAAGGCCCTTTGTGTTTGCATATGCGTGTGTGCATACATACACATATGTATCCAGGAAATTGTAAATGTCATATACAGGCTTAACTTGGTGCTATCCCAGTGTTCATACTACTGATTTCTTCACCCATAGTGGTTGAAGCTTTGAAAGCATCGCCTCCTTGATCCTTGTTTTAATTCTGTGGTTTCTTCATTCTGTTTGTGATATTTTTCTTGCGATCCCGTATTTCCTGCTGGGCTGGCACTGTACTTTCATTGTAGTTTTAGAAAACACATTCTGAAAATACACTTTATGCCTGCAACGTAAAGATGTGGTATTCCTTAAGAAAGGATTCAACTGTTCCTGTTAATTTTTCTAATAAAACACATATGACTCTCTTATAAGCCTCCGCTTTTGCTGTGCAATCACTGTGAGGCAGGACTTCTTTTTCTGCTGGTGCCTTCTGCGCTCCCCTTTCGCTCTTCTGCTCCTCTGGTGGCCAGAAGAGCCGTCCTCTTTGTCACGGGTCCAGGAGCTCTCCTAGTAGCCCACCTTCCTCCCCACATTAATCAAACCCACCTGCCTCTAGGGTTGTGTCCTGTCTTTCACACTCCACAGCCCCCGCGACACCTGTGGAGTGCCAGGCTGCCTGCAGGGCTCCGCGGTGTAGCCAGGCTTCAGCCTAAGCCTTATGGTTTAACTGTTCGATGCCCAGTATGTATAAATGGCACTATAATCCATTAACCTCTGCTAGCAAGGAACACTGGTTTTAAGCTTTAATTTCTGCCAACTCCGGGAATATTTTATCTTGGAAGAAGTTTTAAAAGCTGCTGCAAGGCTTTTTGAACAAGCTAGATTATAGAATTTGGAAGCCTGCTAAGAAAAACAGCTTAAATTTACCTAGTGAATTTTAATCATCTGGTTTAGTTCAAATGCAAAAAGGTGTCAAATTTCTCATGTTGGGTATTTATTTTATTGTTTGTACTACCCTCTTTAAAAGTAACTTTTTGCTATGAAAACAAGGCTTAAATTTTTTTTCCTCATGTTTTAGGAAGTCCTAGGGACTTCCTTAGTAAGGTAATTATGCATGGCCTAAATGATATAGAAATAGCTTGCATGTTTCTGTCACTTTGCTTCTACTAAAATTTGTCACTAGACAACAAATGGGCCTTTTGAACCAATTAAGACACAGCGGTGTAACTGAGATCCCTTCAGATCTTTACTCTCCAGCCTGGGTGGCGCCTGCATTCTCTGTAGTGGGGTTGAGCTGCATTTTTTAGTTTGGCAAAAACATAATTTCTTGCCTTTATTTTAAAGATCATTACATAAGACTTAAAAATCCAAATCTGGTACTGAAAAGCATTTCAGCACGCACACGTATATGAATGATAATTAAAGAATTATAAAAAATCAATAAGGAGAAAAGAATTCTAATTAGTTTCAAGAGAAGTACTTAAAAGATCTACATTCTGAGTAAATATTTCTGTTTTATAGCAAAGAGG